CATAAAAGTTGCCAATGCCAGATAACTGATTTTGTGCTTACATGGAAGTATTCTAAAATCATCTGTAACTTCTTGTGCAAATGGACATGTAAGATGATCTGCTACCATGTCTAGAATCAATAAATCATTTGGATTTGAATTAAGGAGCTGTTCAGGTGTATTAGTATGGTCTGCTTTTTTTGATTTCTGTCTTGAGACTGACATTTCAAAATTTGCTCTGTTGCCTGCTTGATTAATATATGCATATTTCTTATCAATGTAATCTCTCATGCTTTGAAATAGTTTTTTATCTTGGTCAGAAGTTGAAAAACCCTCAGCATGTTGATCTAGATCAATCTTCACAACAGAAAATGTATTTTCATCTTTTCTGTAAAGTGTGGCCAGAACTTCCATTGCTTTAAATTGGATAAAATTTACTCTCACTATGTCCAGAGATAGTTTTGCAAGATAGTAACAATGAGCCAAGGTACTAGTATTTTTTGTAGAGATTATAAGATTTTGAGCAATATCCAGTATGCCAAACAATAAAGAGTATGGAACTGATTCTGAGATATGATCTGACATAATTTTTGGATTAGACTTATATCCAGTTATTTCTGATTGTGCTGAAATTGTTTTATGCCATTCTTGGTCTCCAAATCTCCAGAGATCTTTAATAAGCATCAATTCTCCTTTAGCAACTAGATTCTTATGAATTGGAACAGCTGACCATTCAACAAATGCATGATACATGCTGTATAAATATTTCCATTCTATATACCAATGTCCCATAAAAAACTTTGACTCTAAGATCTTATGAATTTTGTTATAAACTTCAATAGCAGCCTTGTTGTCAATTGGAGTTTCTGCTGTTGTCAAAATACCATTCATACTAGGTAAAGCCTTGACAAGTACAGAAAACAAAGCTTTTAACTGATTTATAATTTCAAGCCAAACAATTTTGTCATCATTCATCATATGAAGAGTATCATAAAGATGCAGAAATAAAAAATTGATATTGTAATTTTGAACACCTTCATCCAAATTTAAATTAGCCAATAAGCCACATGTAGCATTTAAGCCCTTTTCTAATGCATTGGTATAAGACTGGTGAATATTTTGTAGTTGTCCAAGATTCTCATGCAGAGTTTCATACAATTTCCTTGCCATTTTAAGTGGTCGCCTGCCATAAAGATCTAATAGTAATGCAAATATTCTCAAATGCAATTCCAATTCCATACCAGTAGTGATTGTATAGTGGTCATATTCAACCCCACTTGCTATAATCTTCAAGGCATTCCCTGCTTGATTATCATCTAATAAAGTGCCAGATAATAGTAACAGATTGTACAATTTAATGAGATGACTTGTTCTGTCTTTGTTCTTGATAATTGATTCCAAGTTGGTTTCTAATTGCTCATTTAATTCAGTGTTGCTCAGGTTTAGGGGATATGCATCTTCAGAATTGTCACTGTCACTGTCACTCTCAAAAGTAATGAGGTCTATTTCAGCAGCTTCTTGAACCTCTGCATCTTCTACTTCATGCTGCTTTTCCTTCCCTTTGTTTTTGGTACCTGAAGATGATTGTTGTCCAATCCCCTAGTAATATTGAAATTATTTCGTTTATTCTAGCAATCTGGAAAAATTATACTGAAAAAGAAGTCTATTGAGTAAATAACCGAAACTTACCCAACTATCTTTTGATGCCGAATACCTATAATCCATAATAATAACAAATGCAAAAATCTTTGTTAACCGGACTCCAATATTAATATAGTTCCGATGTTTGTTTATTGTTATGCTTGTGTGATGTGATACTAATACTAATACGACTGGGAGTTGAAATGAACCAATCATATAATACATTCTGCATACATATTGTCGGCGGGTGCTCTCATTAGTTTATATACCTGAGTTATTTACGTCAAGCATTTCTTCGGACCTAGCACTTCCCAATAGCAACTGTGGGTTTTATCATTCCCGATGAATTTTGTTAGCGCAAGTGGGAGGCTTGTTGATTCGCTCTTGCCAAATAATAATAAAGTAGAAGATTTTTTATCGTCTGATAAGCTATACAACATATTGTGATAGAATTAATTTATGCCATTAAACACAACCTACAACGATGGGATTTATAAGGCGCAATTTAAACCCTGCCACGGGCGTAATTTTGTGCTAACTCACAGCACATCTTAGAACGCATCGTCCAATATATTTTTTCTATTGCTCTACTACCAAAGTGACCAGTCTCTACAATTACTTTGTTCAAATATTCTGGCCGTACCCCAATTTGGTCACTGGCTCCTTATCAAACCCAATGAGCATGGCATGGTCACTCTCAGCCGCATTTTGACATGTGTACTGCGGTCGTTTGAGTGAGGAAACTTGAACTTGCCTTTTTAAGGTTGTTATAAATAAAGGGCTTGTTAGGCCGAACCATCAAATACAAAGTAGTTTCTCCTCTAATTTTTTATGTCCGCTCGCAAAAAAGTCAATATTCAGTTGGATGGGCAAAGAAGGTCAGGGCGAATAAAGAGGGTGTGAGGCATTACTGTTACTGGGTGCTAAAATAAAGCACAAACGCATATATATTTAAAAGCAGCTAGCTAGCAAAACTCGATTAGCATTCTATTCTTTTCTCCGCCAATGGAATCCATTATTATTGTTTTTTCACCTTTAATTCTAGTATTAGTATTAGTATCATATATTTACGATTTAAATCCACGTGATTTATATCCAAAACATACTAAAGCGATAGATTTGGCACGACACGTGTACCAAATCATAGTAATTGGGTAACACAATTTAACATCATTTAATCTTTTCTTTGCCGTTTTTGACCTCGTAACTCGCGCGCATACTATATTACTCGCTTCTTCGACCGTTCTCTGCTGTCCAAGTCGTCTACAAATCCAGTTCCAGTGATTCTTAAAGTTACCTATATTGATATAATGTATCGTTGCAGGATCTGTCAGCAACCAATATGGAACACTACTCGTATTCTTTGTGCTATATGTGATGATATGTATCTGTGCGTTGGGTGTTTTTCGCAAGGAAAGGAGATCAACGGACACAAGAAGACACACGACTATAGAGTGATTGTACGTACGTCAAACAGGTTTGGAAAGAGTGGAGGAGCAACGAGGAGAAAGTAAACTTAGCTAGATTATGGTAGGGCAAGGTGGGGGATTAGACGATTCCACTAGGTGATTCTCCATTAGCGTGCCTACGACGAAAAAACGCGTGCATTTCACATACGTTAATTCTCTTTTCTGCATGCAACTCAACAGGCACTACCGACATTTAGCTTTCCTTTATACACGAATGACTGGGATGCTGAAGAGGAATACCTCCTGATCGAACTATCACAAACACTCGGTTTAGGGAATTGGGTCGACATAGCCGATCATATAGGAACAAAGACGAAAGAAGAGTGTGAGCAACATTATATTGAAGTCTATTCACAAAGTCCTAATTGGCCTCGACCTGTGAGTTGAGCCATAGAGTTTTGGTGTTTTTGGGATTTGACTGCAGGGAGTCTGGGGGTTTATATCATTAGATCGTTTCTATTTTTTTGTCATTATAATTGAAATTTTATTCTCCTTTTTCCTTTACGCTAACGTCTTTTTTTTTTCAAGATCGACCCCCTGGATGTGACAACAAGCGAGAAAGAAATGCGCCGAAGGAAGCGTAGGCGAATGGACGTCATATACGAAAAAGCAGGTTAGGAAGCCTGAAGAAGAACTTAGCAGTTGAGGCGTTGATTTGACGGTATTGACGCTGTGAAAATGTTGGTTTGTTGTAGCATTAGGTTTGGTGGAAAAGCCTGAGAGGAAGGTGGGTGAGAGAAGGAGGGAAGGTGACGAGGAATGATATCATATGCTGCACGTCGAATTGTCTTACAAAAATCATATCAATACACCCCAGCGTCTTTTTTTTCTCACTATCTACGCCTCATCACCTTTTCTCCTTACAAAACCACTTACCAATAATCTGTATTTCATTCCTCTCCTTCGTTTTAGATACTCCAAAGCATGCCAGCTAATCATGAGATTCATGGATACATGCCAATGCGAAAAGAGTTTGAACACGAAACAGATAACGATGCCGAGGCGATAATTAAAGATATCGAATTCACAGAAGAAGACTCTGAACAGGATAGAGGTGGGAGTATGACCTTTGTGGATTTGACAATTATTCCCGGAAGCAACCTTTCACCTTCTTTCTCACTCTCACCTTCGTCACTTTTCCCTATTGTAATGACTTTAGCATTAAAGTTAGCCGTCCTGGAAATCTATAATAAGAAGTTACTCAAAAGAATAGAAAAGAGAAGGATAATACATGAATATGGCTTAATCGACTTTAGACAGGTGAGTTTTTAATATGATGATGACATTATGATGAGGAATCGATATGTGTGAACAGAATTGCTATGGACGGAATGCGTTAATGGAGGAACGAGAGAGATGGAACTGTTACATAGTTAAGAATTAATGGTAACCAACCGACTCACTAGTAAGCCGCGAAACTCCTTTAGATGACAGCAGCAGATAAGAAGCGCCCAAAAGAAGAAAAGGAGCTAATAAACCGCGCCAAACCGTTTGCAAGATTAATGACGGGTCCAGACTTTCAAGCATTTTTTGAGGGTTTAATAAGTAAGTTGTCAGACACGTTTTATGCATTTTCAAATGCTTCGTTCGGTCCTTTTTGTTATTTACGATTCCTGCTTCTCATCCGCAGAAGAACAATATCTTCGACAACGAATTGACCAGCTTCAAGAATGGCGTCGAATGGGGATAACTAAATTGAAAGATGGCGAACTATACGAGAAATTGAAGGCTGAACGGGTGAGGCGTCTCTATTATGATTATTCAACTTCTGTCTATTCTTTGGATGAGCTAGTGTTATCGATCCATGTCCACAAGTGATAATACGATACATACATACATTAAATTTCGTGGCATTCCGATACATTAATAGTCAAGTTTTCACATGGTCTTCACTTACACTGTTCTGACGAACGATTCTCTTTTCACAGGAAACAACTCGAGAATCGTCAAGCCGACTATTGTTGTCAGGTAGTGGAGATCGAGGGATGATAAGAGACGGAATGTTTGGTGATGGAGAGGTAAGAATGTGAACGTTTGGATAGATGATCTTGTGCACGAGTGTCTGTCGTCTTACCATATTCGTCTTTTCCCAAAGCCGTCAACTCATCCAGCAGCGCACAATCCTACTATTCGGATAGTACGCAAAGCCGCAGGTCCGATAACTCTCGATGACGAAGAAGGTGTTGAATTACTCCTCCCTGCTGAACGCAGACTCTGCGAACATCTTCGCATACCGCCCCATCCGTACATGGCCATAAAAGCGACTATTTTAAAAGAATACGCTAGGTTAGATGGTCACATGCGTCGTAGGCAGGCGAGAGAGTTGATCAAGATCGACGTTAATAAGACGAGTAGGATCTATGACTTTTTTGTCGAGATGGGATGGATTAAACCGCCACCACCTTTGTAATGGAATTTCATAATATTAGGTAGATTGAGAGAATTGACGTGGGAGGAAATGGGACGAGTATTTTGATAAAATAAAAGGAGTAGTTTTAGAAGAATCTGGAGTGAAGTGCGTGCAACTGAGGTATCAACAACTGCACGGAAAGGTTACTCGTTGTTGGTCAATTCCTGCCTGTCGCTCTCACTACTCCAGAGAATTTCAATAATTGATGAATCTGTACATAACGCAATTCTAACGAGTTTAATTATAAATAAAAAGTCAACAAGTCCTCATATTTATTATCCCTCCGATGCGACTGTTTGTTAGACGTACGTGGAAAGGTCAAATGCAGAGAATACAGTTGTTCTTGTACGTTAATATTCACACATTGCAAGAAAGCCTGTCTTGCTTCTGACCATATTATTCCCTTTCCCTTTTTTTTTTTTCATCGGTCATTCTCTTAGTGGTCTCCTGCTTCTACGTTTTTCATATTAAGTTACTTGCTTTTAAACTACAATTTCTCTAATTCCATCTTTATCTACTACTTTGACTGTAAAGTTTGGTAGATTAATAAGAAATCTCTTTTGTAACTCATTGATACACCTCTTCATCAATGCCTTTCCTTCCTCGAACGAAAGATCTGGACGATGGTAACGATCAAAAATGGAGAAAAGGAAATGTGCAGCGTAACCATGAGCACCGTAGGGAGCAGCTATCGAGCTACCGAGATAGTCGAGCTGATAAAGGTGAGACGATTCGGTAGTTAAATCGTATCCAGCCAGAATGAGATTTACGCGGTAGTGATTCTAAGAAAAAAAGAGAGAGTGATGGTGAGATCGGAAAGAGCGTTCAAATGGCAATGCAATGCAGATTAGTCTGGCTTGCTTCAAAAATTGTCGGCCCGTGCACTTTATTTGGACAGTATCCATCATACTGGTTTCGTGCATCACGGATGAGTTTTTGAACTGTAATATCGAACATTTTTCAAAATCTAAAACTGATTTACCACGTATCGAAAAAATCGGTCATGTAATATACATAATCTAAGATTATTCAAGGTTCTAATTACATATGTCACCTAAACCAATCCTACATTCTTACGAAATCAACCGTTTATCGCTGTAAAAAAATCAGCCCCCTCCCCCATTTCCCTTCGTGCTTATTACTATCATACCTCCTCTCACATATCATTCAAAAAAACAAACAAACAACTCACCCTTGATCTCAGGCTGTCCGCCAACTCTCTTCGCGTAAAAGTAGCAGCCGACTTTGTTGATAACTCGACTCCATTTCTAATCTCGTACAGCCTCACGTTTCTCTGAATAAACTCTGCGAATTGCACAGTATCCCCCGGCGTCCCGGAAAATAGTAAAATGATACGTTTGCTCAAGGCGCGGGATTTGTCCTCGTCAGATTTCATGACCAGTATGCTCTGTGAAACGGTACTATCTGTAGCTGTCATGACATAGTCTTTGCCGGTAAAACCAAAGATGCATTCCATTTTCTTCTTTTTTTTTTTGTAATAGAGAACGTTGAAAGAAAGCGTCAGAGTCTGGAGGATATTCTTGAAAAAAGTTGCGTAATTAAATCATGACGTTTTAGAGATTTTAGGTAAGCACGTGATATAGTTGTGGAACAACACGCGCAAAATAAAGCTGATATTGATTTATTAGAACGTGTGATGGGGGAATGCTTCGTCTCCCGAGTCGTATTAATGCCAGAGATGGTCTCCTTGAGATCTGTTTGCAGTAAATTGATTTTTCCCGCTCACTTAATTTGCTGCTTCTGTATGCACGTACTGAACGCACGTCTGTTAGAATTGTTTCAAATCAAGACTAACAACTGGTAAGTTTATCTCTTTCGGAAGCAATAACTACCAATTTATTTTAAACAGAGGATGCCGTAGTTAAACATTATTAATTCAGACTACTAAATAGTGTTCGAAGATAGGCCAATCAATATAACTTGAAAATTTTGGCTTGGATAGCAAACCCCGATTGCGTACAAAATTTTAGCTTTACCTCGAGGCATATCATAATCAAAATGTATTTACATAAACTAATTATCGTGTAATCGTTATTAGAAAATGCAAATAATTGCAGGACATGAGACGGTACTGCTTGAGTTATTATTACCAATATGATAACATTTTTCGTCTAATCCCACCACACGTTCAAAAGGCACATAACAGTAGAAAAATTATGCAATTACTTGGAATATGCTTTTAAAAGTTTATATCCAAACAAGCAGCATATATTTGATTAAATTAGCTGGTAATAGTAATACATTATGCAGGAAAAATTCTCAGAGTTAACTCATTTTTGCTCCGAATTAAAAGTGGAGTGATACTTATGCATTACCGTGTTTAATAAATTGAGATAAGAGCATATCGGTTTTGTGTTTTAAAACAAAACAAAGCAAAATTAGACATTGAAAACTGCCTTCTCCTCCAAGTATAATTTGACTAGACAAGTTAAATATTTATTACTATAACGTCGATTACTGTACATCACAGTTGTGAGAAAGCTTTGTTTTATTATCGATGGACGACAGAGAAGTACACCTTCTCGCTAAGGCAGACGCTTTTAAAGCGCATACTTTGTCAAAGTTATTATAAACTATCAAGATTTAATTTCGACAAGCGAATGTGTTTCCGTCACTCAATTCCATAAACAGATCTTGTTATATAAAAAATTTGTTGAATAATCATAGTCTTATTTAACTCTATGTTTATACACAATAACTTGTTATTGTCACTTAATTGAGTAATTTAGAATACAAACGGGCGCCTTTGTTCTTTTCTGAAATGCAAGGCATAGCAATCGCACACGGAATGCACATTTGCAATTTATTCATAAATAAATAGGAAGATTCACGCATATTTGGCGTTCGCGTACAATTCTCGTAATTATTTTAATATTTATGCTACTAACACTAAGCGTATCCAATATTATATTTCTGAGGAAAAGATTTATAGATTATGCAATAAGTTCTAGTATCAATATAGTCAGTTTCTTTGAAGAATAAAGTTTACGAATATTACTTCGACATGTTTTTTGCAAACCCTAAATGAAATACCCTAAATGAAATTTTGCCCAATTCGTGCAGTTCCAAATTAGTAAACCTCGTGCAGATTACTTTGATCTATAATAGTAAGTGAGTGAAACTTTCGTGCGCTGAGTAGAAGCGAGGCTGTTGTAATGCTCCCCTGCTGATAAGAATGTAGATACAGTACACGCAACCTGCTGGAAACTGAGGATCGACTATTCCCCAATTTCCCACGACATGGTGTGTTCTTTATTGAACAAAAACAACCCCTTATTATTATTGTATTGTTGATATTTATTAGCCAGCTGCACCCCTGATTTGGGATAATTGCTGTGCGACAATCTATTGCTATATAATTTAAAAACGTCCGTTGTTGACTTGTTTCGATCATCCAGTTTTTGATAATGTCTACATATTTTGACACCCTCGCGAAAAATTACACCGAAGTACCTGTTACTGATGAAGGCATCGCTACTGTGCCGTTTGCAGAGGCAACGGATGGTGTCGTTAAGTTGTTTGGTATGAGATAACAATTGACATGCGTTGATTGTAAATTGTATCAGTTATGAGAGATGGAGAATCATGTGTTATGGGGAAAACTGTATCATTACTTAGAGAATCGTTATAAAGTGTCTTGTCGAGTTTATAATTAACGAATTTCGTTTTTTTTTTTGTTTGACCAGATTTGCTCGGCTCAGTTGCGTTTACCATGGTTCAGAGTGATATGAATGGAAATCTAAAGGTAGACAATCATCTACACAACACATGATTCCCGATGTATGATTTATTAATGAGCTGTTATTGTATCTTTTTCACGTAAGAAAATCAGGGATCGTTATGAGACTGATACAGCAGCAAATTCGACTTTGGAAAAGCTGGTCATAAACGAAAAGGATGAGAAGAAGAGGGTCGCTACCGAAGGATTGCTGTGGCTTATGCGGTGAGAATTACAAAGCGGTTGGAGTTGGAAATGAGGTTTTCAAGTCGACGATTAGTGTTTTTCGTCGGACTTTGCTAACGCATATAATTTTGCTACGCTCCCAGTGGATTAGAATTCACTTCCGTGGCACTGCGTAGACTTTTAGACAATCCTGATGAAGAATTGGGTACTGCATTCACGAAAGCATATGGCGAAACATTGAAGAAATTCCATGGATTAATAGCCAAAGGGGCATTTACGGTACGTTGTGATCAGATCATACGTATTCGTTGAATAATATACAATTATTTTTGGCTTCCCCGTCACGCATATTTCTTACGCAAATCTATTCTCAGGTTGCAATGAAGGCATGTCCATTGCGCGAAGACTTTTTCAAAAAATTGGGCGAAGACCAAGAGCGCGTTGTGGAATTGTTTAATGTATGGTTGACTGCACTCGAAAAGCTGGTGGCGAGATTGAAGACATTCTACACTACGGGTGGACATGACAAAGGATTCTAATGGCAACTAGTTGATGCAATTATTTAATATTGACGGGAGTTAAATTAATATCGGGATGACATAATCACCCCATCACTCGAATTAATATTATGGCAGTATAATAATTAAAAAAAAACTATACCTCAGCCCAGTACAGCTTGGGTGTATAATATGAAGAGAAACTCTGTTAGGCGGAGATTACGAAATGTCTCAATATGTCGAGATCCAGTGCCATATAGTCGTATTATCTTTACGTAATCGTGCGACCTCTGAAGCCTCGTTGGGCAGTCGAATGTTCATGGTTTGCCCACAATAATCCATATAACCATAAGTGTAGTATGTCCATCTTAAACTCTTACGGCCAATGACATTACCCGGCAGAGCTGATCTATCTATGATAACAAGAACGCACTAATTGAGCGAGTAAAACGCGAATTAATAAAATTCCAGCGTGGAAATCTATCGCCACTGCCTTACAGTCTCAATTTCTCGACACTCCGATTGGCACCAGATTAGTTGTAGTCAATTCCTTCAAGAACTAGATAATCTTGATTGTCTTGCATTGACACTATTGTTCATTAGAGTTACAATGAACAGGGTGCATTCTGATCGATCAGAGGCAAGTACGACTTATACTAGTCTGCATAAAGTGCATTCAAAGAAGCAGTAGACACAAATTGAACAACGTTATATATAATGATGACCTACACGTATCATGTTTTCAACACAAACTTACGTTCGTTATTTTAGTTTGCAATATAAATTGGTGATACGGTTAGTATACTTAAGCCGTGATTACGTTCAAACTTTCCGCTAAGCATTTCACCAACAAAGTTCTACAGGGTATTTGTTATTGTATTTGTCAGCTTGCAAAGGAGTCTGCTCAAAACTGCGTAATTGAGAATTTATATATTAAAATGATCAATAAATACATGGCACTGCACTGTTAAATAACATAGGTTAGCGAATGCTACCGAAACTTTGTAACTCGCGACGTTGCGCTATAAAATTCTTTAACCCAAACCACAGCAAACCTTGACCCACCCATCATATCAATAACAACAAGTCTCAGGACGACGTTTTTATTACATGGAAAATTGACGTGTTCATTATTCCCTTTATAGGATATGCCAAAGAACACAAGAATTATATTAATTGCTCAGCTTTGTAGGCAACTCACAAGTTACTTTTTAATTGGCTATCGTAGAGGTGAAAGAATAAAATTATACGAGAAAATTTATTTTAATTAGGTTGCAATGTGTCATGTGGACAAATCTTCATCACAGTATCGTAAGCACGGAATGTATCGTCATGAAGGGTTCACCCTAGCTTCTGTTTGCATATGCCTTTCCTACTAGGCGTGCCATATGAAGCTCTCAACTGGAGATCGACGTTAGTCTTTGGTTTCTTATGTGATTTACGCAACAATTGCTTTGCTGCTGGAGACAACATGGATACTCGAAGCGGACTAGCAATTCTATTTTTTCAAGATGGTTAGTATCATGACATTCTGGGCCATTAATGTAACTTAATAAATGTTCTCACCTTGCAGATATCCCGGTGGGCGTCGAATTCCTCGGTGACTTCATCGGTGTAGTGCGCTTACGAATATTACGGGATGCGCTACTTGAAAGTGCCATCCCGATTATTTCTCGTCGGGGAGTAGGAGGTAATTGGAAAGCACGTCCTACAACAATGATATATAACGTGTATTATTAAAGCATTTCGTAGATCCAAGTAGACGTACACCGATCATCAGCCGTATCTTTACATACCAGGTGTCTGATCACCGCTAATTAGCAAAGGCGAGCCTTCTATCGTACCCCATGTCATTAGTTCTGAACTATCGAGCTGGGAAGGTGCCGGTGAGGGTGTTGCCGAAACAAACGCATATCCGCCAACTTTTGGTGTCCCGCTCATACTGCTAGCGGCTACAATATATTAAATCACAAAAGCCTTTAGAAAACAACATTCCAGCCATATGCGGACAACAAGCAAGAATAAAACAAATCAATGCGCACTTGGACTCGAAGTTAAACTTAACCCAGCAGCCATAGCAGCTGCTGCAGTGGCGGCCGCATGATTATTTATGTTCTACGCAAGACAGAGGAGGCAAACGTCAATGATCGATATTCTACAGATTCGGAAATACACAATTATTTGACAATTCATATATCAAGGTGTTATTCAATTACCACTTCATCAGGTGATTCAAACCTCGTATTTGCGGGCGCTATCTGTTTTGGTGCGCACCTACTGTTTTCTTCAGGTTTATGGGGTTGGCCCTCCGGATAGAACATTAGCGCATTGGGTGGCTACATGCAACCAATTAGATTAGATATAAAGGAAAATCAAGAAACAATCGGCCAGGCTACAATCCCAAACCAAATGATTACCTTTACCTGGCTCCCACCGCTGTTGCCTGATCCTTCAATAAGCTTTGGTTCATTTCCACTACTTTCTAATAGTTTCTGTGGATTACTCTTTGACTCAAACATCCATTTTAACTTTTCCCTTCTTTCTTCGCTCTGTTTTCTCATCAATTCTGCGAAAGTGCGAAAAAAATCACATTGGTTAAGGATATCGTAGCGTATGGGCCATGCGTAGATATTGTTTTACGATGAGAATAAAGCGAAACAGCTGAATTCAAAAAATGAACTGAAACAAAACACATAAAAAGAAGAGTTTTTCAAGAGTTTCCGCGCACAAAGGATATGAAGCGTTGTCTTCACTTGTATACTTGTCCTGGAATTTATCCAAAGACATGTCGGTATCTACGTGACTTTTGCTTGAAACGTCTGTTTCTACTACTCTTGACGCTGTGGTTCTCGGAGTGGGAACTGGTGAATCCCATTCACCGCGAGGCGTCATTGTATCTCGAATTCTCGGGGTTGAAGCTAAAAAGGGTCACGAAATTTGAGTAAGATGCAAGTGTGGTACTACTAGCAGCTTGCTTGCGAAATCCCAACCGACAAACGAACCTGCTAGTTTCCTTTGCGGTGTTGCTATCTCTGTTAATCTTATTGTAGCTAGGCGCAACTGTTCGGGATCATTAGAACTCAAAGCATCTAGGTATTCATTCTGCGCTTTCAGAGAAGCTACTGTAGGAAAGTAATCCCTAGCAATGATTTCGCTGATGGCTTCGGTGTATGTGTCCTCGTCAAGTATTTCTACCGGCTTTCTAGGCAATGTTGTCATTGACGTAGTAGCCGTTGATCTGGTTAAATCTTTTGACATTATTAAGAACAAGACAGAAAGTATTGAGTATTTGGCGATCAAAATAACGCCATGCCATAGTATTGTATTGCCAATATCACGTGAATTTAAAGAAATTATCGTCTTTAATGAAATGATAGTTTAGCGTTCTTTACGAAGACAGTTTTTTCTCGCCATCGTTCTCTGTATCCATGGAAACTCTACAGCGCGCCTGGGCTTACTTGAGAGCGTAAATTATAATAAAAACGTTTACTATTCTTATTCTACGGAGAACATTAATTCCAATTACAATAGGGGCATTACTTCGACTTGGTGTTTTGATTAGCACTTATTTATCTTAAACAAATATTATCGTTTTGAATAGTAATTAGACCGCGCTCCGTTATTCACGTTTCGCTCAGCGGAAAACTGCAACTGATCTGACGACCTTGTTATTGACCTTATAATATATAACTTAATATTAGTTAAGTCGCAGTAGCTATCAATGATTAATTATCGATAGAAAGAATATACGATAGGATAAAGATCGTTTGTATTGTGTCAGATTAGCTATTGTCATCGAAATACGATCTCTAAATCAAATCTACTACTACATACTAAAATTACTACTGCGGGCGTCAGCAGGATAAACCATTGATATTATAACAATTGAACGAAGATACTTATACTTCGAAATGCAGCTGCTTTAATGATCATAATTAACTTGGTAGAAATTGATGTCTTTTCTTGAATTTCTTTCAGGTATACCAATAACATTTATTCAGATGTAAACAATGTCTCACTAGTCTATACAACAATAACTTCGTACGGGTAATCGCATGTTATAGTCAGGATTAGTGAATGAGCCTTATCTTAAAATGAAGAATTATTCCACATTTTATTATCTGTTTAATTCCTGTTTATTTACCAATTTTGTGTGGACAAAATGTCTCCACTAAACCAATAATAATAAATAATAAATAAACATTAAATATGAAATACCAGTTATTACTACCTCCAGTAAGTCCTCTACTTGATAAAAATACACCCTGCACACATCATTAACACAATACATAATAGTAATACTAATATTAATATTGAATCACTATTCTCTAGTCTCAAGCATCACCACTCTTATATTTCCCCACTATTACTATTTCTCTTTTAGTAATAAGACAAGGAAGCATCCCTGCAAACATTGAAAATAAGTAGACATTTTAGAAAATAAGAGTCAAAGAGGAATTTGATTTTAAAGCCTTTCTCAAAACTGTTTCTCCTGTATATCCAATTAGATTACGTGAAAGATTCAAAGAAGTCAGAAATGAATTTGATTCCAGAGCCTTTACCAAAGCAATTGCTCCTGTATCTCCAATTTGATTCTGCTGTAGATCCAAAGAAGTCAGAAATGAATTTGATTCCAGAGCCTTTGCCAAAGCAATTGCTCCTGTACCTCCAATTTGATTAGACTGAAGATCCAAAGAAGTCAGAAATGAATTTGATTCCAGAGCCTTTGCCAAAGCAATTGCTCCTGTATTTCCAATTCGATTAGACTGAAGATTCAAAGAAGTCAGAAATGAATTTGATTCCAGAGCCTTTGCCAAAGCAATTGCTCCTGTATCTCCAATTAGATTACGTGAAAGATTCAAAGAAGTCAGAAATGAATTTGATTCTAGAGCCTTTGCCAAAGCAGTTGCTCCTGCACCTTCAATTTGATTCCACTGGAGATCCAAAGAAGTCAGAAATGAATTTGATTCCAGGGCCTTTGCCAAAGCAATTGCTCCTGTACCTCCAATTTGATTAGACTGGAGATCCAAAGAAGTCAGAAATGAATTTGATTCCAAAGCCTTTGCCAAAGCAATTGCTCCTGTATCACCAATTTGATTCACCTGGAGATTCAAAAAAGTCAGAGTGGAATTTGATTCTAGAGCCTTTGCCAGAGCTGTTGCTCCTGTACCACTAATATAGTTATATGAGAGATCCAAAAAACTCAGAGAGGAATTTGATTCTAGAGCTTTTGCCAAAGCTGTTGCTCCTGTATCTCCAATTTTATTCTGATAAAGATCCAAAAAAGTGAGAGATGAATTTAATTCTAGAGCCTTTGCCAAAGCTGTTGCTCCTGTAGTTCCAATTTGATTATGATAGAGATCTAAAGAAGTCAGAGAGGAATTTGATTCTAGAGCCTTTGCCAAAGCAGTTGCTCCTGCACCTTCAATTTGATTAGACTGTAGATTCAAAGAAGTCAGAGTGGAATTTGATTCTAAAGTCATTGCCAAAGCTATTGCTCCTGTATCTCCAATTTTATTTCCCTGGAAATTCAAAGAAGTCAGACAGGAATTGGTTTTCAAAATTTTTGCTAAAATTATAGCTCCAGCATGTTTAATTTGATGTCTTTTAAAATCTAATAATGTAATTTGTTTTTGACAGTTATGTGCTTTCAATTGATCAAATAATGATGATAACTGTTTGTAAACAGTCTCATTTGGTTTGATTTTTAAAAACATATAAATGTCATTCAAAACTTTGTTGTACTTGCAAAAATCAAAATAGACAGCTGTTCTTATACCTAATATGGTTTCATTATTTTCTGGCTGAATTTTTAATAATTTGCTAAAATCATTTATTGCATTATCATACTGTTTGAGTGCATAATAGATCTTTCCTCTTACTCTCAATGCCAATGTATGATCTGGTTCAACATTTAAGAATTTAGTCAAATTATCCAATGCATTGTCATACAAACTGCTATCACATCTGATAAGTTCCTGTTCCATTAAAACAAGCATATTGCCTGGATCCAGTCCCAATAATTCATCAAGATCATTTAATGCATTGTCATATTGCTCAAGTATAAGGCAAAGAAGCCCTCTTAGATATTGTGCTATTGTATCAGTTGGTTTAATTTGTAATAATTTGTTGAAATCTTTTAATGCATCCTCATACTGACATAGATTAGAATAGACAGTCCCTCTTGCTATCAGTGTGTTGGCATCATTTGGTTCAATCTCTAATAATTTGTCAAAATCTCTTAATGCTTTGTTAGACTCATTCAGTATAGAATAAA